TCTTGGTGTTTAGGGAACTAGGGGATTAATTTGCTAAGTTTAGAGAATTTTTGTAGGAGCCATTTTTGTAGGAGCAGTCACTTTTTAGGAATTTGATACTTTCGAGGATTGCATTGTAGGCATGGATTCATTTTGAATAAATGAACTTAATTGCTAATTTTCCTTGGTGAGGCCGAGATTAGAATGAGGTAATGTCTAGTAAAAATCTGAAAAGTGAAAAATTATTATAGCTAGACCTCTTGCCTTGCGAAAAAATGAATGGGAGCTCCGGTAAAAAAGCCTAAGTGTTAGCATAATAAGATGAGACCTGGGTATCTTTCGAAAAAAATGGCGTTCTCCTACCAACATGACAAGGAAAGCTGAACCTAATTAATGAACTTGGAGGCTATTGCAAAAATTTGCTCTAGTCCTTCGCGTACTTCAAGTGTACGTCAAAGCACCAATGTGACGCTGCGGTTTAGCTTAGTTGTACACCATGTCTACTCTTTGCGTAGGTTTAAATGATTTTTCCTAAATTGTGGCCTACTAAGTTTTTTGATCCTAAGAATAGCCCCAAAATTCCTGAATACATTGAGTCTTTGTTAGGATGTTCCAATCTCTCAAGAAAGGGACTGCTAGTGTTTATTACCATTCACCACCGCTTTCACAAGTCCTTCTGATCGGTAGCTAGTTTATTTGTGTACGCTGTCACTACTTTGAGGATGTTGTGAATAATTTTGTCAAATAGTTTAGCTTGAGTACAAAGATATAGTTTAGGAAAGAATTTTCTTGATTTAGTCTGACTGTTGTATCCCAGTAACTACATGTGCATGCTAATTGTTTTGATTCCGTGTGGTGATTATCGTAAGTCCCATTGTTGAGTTTGCTTGAGGACAAACAAATGCTTAAGTGTGGGAGAATTTGATAAGTCTGTATTTCGACACGCATTTGATGCGTGTTGAGATTGGCTTTTGATGGTTTTCCTATCTTTAAGGTGTTGCAAGTCTCAATTTTAGCTCAAGTTATGTTTACCGGGCGTTGGTTCGAGTTTTGTGTTGTTTGGAGTCAAAATCAGGAATTTAGAGCCCGGCACCAGCGCTTGAGAAGCAATCGGGACGAGTTGAGAAGCCTTTGAGAGATTTGAGAGCTTTGAAGGTCACCGGGAGGTTCACGATGAAGATTTGATGGCAAAAGAGCTCTAGAATTGGCTGCGGGATCAAAAGAAGATGTATAGAGCTGGAAAACGGCGATGACCGTCTCTCAATCTTTCAAGCATATCTCTTTGTAGAAGAATCCAAAGGACACGATTCAAGTTCCATATCAAAGCCAACTTCAAGGGCTACAAATCATATGAAGACACCATTACGAAAATAGGAGAGGAGGAAGGTGAAAACAGACAATGAAGTCAAATGATCTCTGTTGTGATTTCAGAATGCCACCTTCCACCATTTTATTCATATCTCTTAAGTGGCCGTAAGCTCGCTCATCTTGGCAATAATTTAGGATCCTGTCGTATGAGAGATCAGCCCGGCCCCTAAATTGTTTTACGCTACACCGCGATGGCGGTAAGAACGTAGTAATGATTAGCTAGGCTCAATTAAATTAATTTCATGTAATTAAGCTTGATCTGCCAGTAAGGCTGCACATCGGGCGGGTTGGGTCGGGTTTGCCATATTTTTTGGGCCTACCCAATTTATTTGGGTTGACTATTTACCAACCCGCGGTATGAAATATAAGTTGGTAAAACATGCATGAACGGGTCGGGTAGGGTCGGATATTGAAAGGAATTTATTTCGGGTTGAATCTTTAATATGGACAACTAGTTTATAAGAGTAAACCATGCTTGCAATATGAATCTCGGTTAACTTTTTTCCAAAATACACAAACAAATACAAGTACTTTTTATAAGAGTAAATTTAGGGAAATAGAATCAAAACATTCTTGCGTAAAGGAAATTAATTTAGAAGCAAATGTGTGTGTGTCTATACACACACTAATCACCTAGTCAAAATGGTAAATGTTTATAATGCTAAAATCATAGTCTAAGATAGAGCACATCGGTCTTAAATAGAAATTATCCAACTAAACTTTGTAGCCTAATAATAATAAATTGAACTTTCGGTCGGGTCGGGTACTATCGGGTTTGAGATTTTAATTCCGCAACCCTACCCATTAGGTGCGGGTTCGTACATATCTAACCCGTGAATATTTTTAAACCTGATTAAAAGTGATCGGGTAGGGTTGGGTCGGGCGGGTTATGTGGGTTCGGGTTATTCTTGTGCAGCCCTATCTGCCAGAAATCTGGTTACCCCAGAATCATTCCTTGTTCCCTTCGTCATTAATTAGAGAGAAACCAATCTATTTATTTATTCGTTCATTCGCATTAGTTTAATTTTTCAACCTAATTATATCTCGCACGACGCATTTATTTTATTTATTTTTAATCGCTGAATTTAATTAATTCTTGATTCCCTTTTGTCCGTCCCTCCTGTGGAGACGATACTCGTACTTACACTGCTATATTACGATCTATTTTAAGTGCGAGAAAACTCACATCAGGGCTCTACCCTTATGAGAGGGGGTATTGGACACTGGGTGAATTTTAAATACGAAAAATTACCTAACTTCTGTTTCATTTGTGGGATGATTGGACATTCTGAGAAATTTTGTCCCTTGAAATATGAGGATGATATAGTTTTGAAAAAAATCCTTTGGGGTAGAGCTTCGAGCAAGTGGGGGGGAGACTAGCCCCACAAGGGGTAATAAGTGGTTAGTGGAAAAACTGTCAGGTCAAAGGCAACAGAGAAGGATAGACCAAGAGGGTGAGGGTACTGGGGGACAAGGAAGGAAAGAGGCTACAGCTGATACAGAAAATAGTGTCACCAAAGAAGAAGACAGCGGAAGCACTGAGGAAGTACCAGTGGACCAAAAAAGCAAAAGAATATGGGAGGAACACGCACAAGAGGACACACCAGTGAGAAGATAGCTCTTGATAAAACAAAAAACGAGGAGGCGGCGGGTCCGGGCTCTTAGTACTTTATGTAGTATTAATTATTAGCTTTATATTTATTTGTTACATTGTTTTACATTATTTTAATTGGACTAAAATTTTGTGGTCTAGTCTGATTTGTTCAAGTCTGTTCAGTTTTGGTTTAGTCTATTTAAGTCTGATATAGTCTGTTCTGTTCTTGGTTTGAAATTAAAGCAGTCCACGTAAATACATTCTTATTTCTATTTTGTATTTTCTTTTTAACTTTGCCAGAATCCAAGTGACTACCAAATATTTTATACTCCTTAAGTTTAGAATTATTAGATTATTGTTTCAAAAGATCAACTCAATTTTGCAAAAGTTATGAAAAAATTATATTTAAAATATATTATTGATAAAATAAAGAAAAACTCGTATGAAAATAGCTAAAATTATTAGGCCTGGGACCGGTTCGGTTCCTAGGCAAAATATGTGGAACCGTTTGAAAATATGAAATTTTACTAACGGTTCGGTTCTTATAAATTATTTTAAAGAACCGATAAGGAACCGAACCGTTCTTAACGGTTCGGTTCTTGTCATTTAACGGTTCCTAGTCTTTGAAAAAATTCTTGGAAATCACGACTAAATTTTTGCCAAAAAGACATTCAACGTTCGAAATCTCAATACATATATGCTGAACCAGTTAAAGAGAATAATAATTTTAAATACTCTGGACCTTCCGAGTTCCGACCAGCTGGAGTTTGGACCTAATGAGAGGCCTAAGAAGCCTAAGAGAACCGGTTGAAATAAATAATAGTTTTAAATAGTTAAATAACTAAACTAAAATAATGAATATAATATAAAAATAAATAAGTAAATATACATTACAATATATATATTCATAAAAAATATATTTAATTTTAATTATTATATATAACGGTTCCTTAACGGTTCCTGCTACATATTTTTTTCAGGAACCGAGAACCGAACCGTTAATAAAAATTAGGAACCGAACCATTAACAAATAACTAATAAATGTTGGAACCGAACCGAACCGGGTCATAACGGTTCGGTCCGGTTCGGTTCTCCGGTTTTTGGTTCAAAAGTCCCAGCCCTAAAAATTATCTTAGCGCGCGAAATGAAATGTTAACGGGTGATTAATTTTTTTTCCCAAATCTTTTACAAGTATTTATCAACATCTTTCTATAGTTTCGAAATATATCATTCTCAAGACCCATTATTCGAGTCCCTTAAAGGGCTGCTTATTTGCGTTATATTCCACAAACAAGCGATATCATTATCGCGTAAGTGCTTACAATAGTCTAAATAAAATGAAACAGTCTCATAGGTCCCCTCATCTCGAGTAGTAATTTTTTCATTCCCAATACTAAAATGTACGTAGTATAACTCAGCAGAATATAGTTTTGTAGAAGAAGAGAGGAAGTTAATTTTGGTTTCTAGTTTGTTCGAAGTATTTATAGCGAGAGTTTGGAAAGTTGAGATAATTATTGAATCCTAAATTTTTTTTTTATTATCGTGTTTGTAGATCAAGAGGTTTTTTGAACTCTTGAGTGTGAATTCTTGATTTTGAACTTATTGTCTGAAATCTCATGGTTTTCCATCAATATACTCTTCTCCTTTCACCCTTAGTTCAGGGGAGGGGACTGGTAGAAACTGTGGTAAACAAGGTGGAAAATCTCTTAAAGAAGTTTTGAATTAGACCTTTGCCAACAAGCTGAGCTGGACAGCTTTCTCACAATCTACTTTCAAATAGACAATTTGAACAGGCTTTCCTGGAGCAGCTCCAATAGACAAAAGAATTTCTATCATAAAAAAACAGATGAAGATTGGATAAATAAATCCATATCGGGACAAATATGAGACTAGGCTTGACATCAGAAGTACGTAGTATATTTCATGATGCCCATACCCATCAGCAAACAAAAAGCTTTTCTGAAATATTATACAGTAATCCTCAATTTTTTCAAATATGTTTCCATTCACTAAAATCCCAATTGAAGCCCCACACACATATATACCCAAACCACATAGAAGTACACCAGGCAAAAAGTCTGAAAGGCCACTTGGGGAGAGAGAGAATGGATGTGATGAAATTCAGGGCTGTTGTGTGGGTGGCAATAGTGGGAATGGGGCTGATGATAGGGCAGTCGAATGGTTCTTTCAAGGACTGCTATGCCAAATGCTTTGTCTTCTGCATGATTGAGCCTTCTGAAACTCTGTGTTCTTGCACCACCAGCTGCCTCAAAGATTGCATCTTTAACTCCACTGATGTGAGCTCCACCGTTCGCCACCACGACGAAGGCGGTGTTCGCATCCTCACCCACAACTTCTGCAAGCTTGGATGTGCCCTTTCTACCTGCTCCTCCTTCACTACTAACCCTCCCTCCAGTAAGTTTCTGTTTCAGGCGCTTTCAAAAAAGAAATTGATACTACCTTTATCCCGACTCAAGTGGAGCAACAAATATACCTCTGTTCTATTTTTCGGAAAAAACATACCCCTGAACTTTTAAAAAGGTGCAAAAATATCCCTCATTTTTTATAAAAGACCAAATTAATTCTTATTGACTTTAAATTAATCAAATAAATTTCAAAAAAGACCAAAAAAATTTAATAAATCAAAATTAAAAAATAAAAATTTTAAAAATGTAATTGTGTCCATTTCTCCCTTTATTTTTTTTATATCACAATTTAATATTTTAAGTATAAAATATTATTTCAAAATATGTAATTTTATAGTCCAAAGAATGCAAAAAATTAATTTTTCTCTACATTGCAAAAAATATGTTGCACCTTTTCGAAAGAATCTTAAGCATATAGTAAAATTTTGAAATACTATTTCATGCTTAAACAATATTAAATTGTGATATAAAAATTTTTAAAATTTTTTGTTTTTAAATTTTGAATTTATAATTTATATTTGGTGTTTTTTGAAATTTATTTTATTAATTTAAAGTCAATAAAGATTAATTTGCCCCTTTATAAGAACATGAGGGATATTTTTGTACCTTTTTAAAAGTTCAGGGGTATATTTGTTCCGAAAAATAGAACAGGGGTATATCTGTGCCCACACTCATACTACAGGGATATATTTGTACATTTTCCGTTGAAAAAATGACAAGATTATATAGACACGGGAGTCCGGACTCCCCCAGATTGGAACCATGTACAAAAAGTAATGTTTGTAATGTAACATCATATTCTTTAATTCAAACTTTCTTAAGGCTTTAGGCCTTGGCCTTGGGGAAACAAATTTCTTGAGAAAATTCCTACAATGCATATTTTTCTTTGATGGCAGATGTAGAGGAAATGAATGGGTGTGTTGGGTCATGCTTGGACAAGTGCAGCAACTACTACACATTGCCATAGAAGACTTTTAAATGGGGAGGGTTAAGTTCGTTTTCTCATTCGCGAAGGCTATTTTAATGTGTTGGGAAATGGGTGTGATCAATCTGTTTCTTAATTATATCGTTTTCTCATTCATGAAGGTTATTTTAATGTATCATGTATGTAATCAAGGTCTTAATGAGTCTAATATTTGGAGTATGTGTTTGTTAGTTTCATTACAATTATTTCTTGGTGTACACGTATGCCCGCCCTAAAGTGCAAACGCCCTTGCACTTGAAGAGCCAGGACAACACGCCATTGGTCAAAACTTAAGGAGTGTTTGAATTTGCTTAAAAAAACGTTTTTCAGCTTTTGGTTTAAAAAAGTTGAAAAGAGTGTTTTCAAATGACAGTTTCTGCTTAAATTAATCACTTAAAAGTTAAAAGCTGGAAGCAGGTAGAAGGGTGCTTTAAACTGCTTCTCACTTTTTCTATTACACAAAAAGTACTTATTTTACCAAACACTACCAACTTTTACTTTTTCAAAATCACTTTTTTCTCAAACACTACCAACTTTTACTATTAATCAATTTTCCCAAAATCACTTTAAAAAATCATTTTTTTAAAGTTGAAGCAATTGCAAACACTCCATTAGTCATGTACAGTTCTAGGTAGGGCTGGGAAAAAACTCCCGACTCCCGATCCCGATCCCGACAATCCCGATCCCGACTAGTCGGGAATTTTTCCCGATCCCGACTAGTCGGGAATTTTTCCCGATCCCGACTAAGTCGAGACGAGACCAGGATTTTTTTTTAAAGTCGGGATCGGGAAAATCCCGACATCTCGACATTATATATATATATATATATATATATATATATACACACACATGTAAATAATTATATATGAATATATAAAAAATGAATATGTATCTAAATATTTGCACATCTTTTTTAATTACTTATTCCTTACATAGATTAAATCTTTTACTACGAGTATCTTACAATATCAAACTTCTAAAACTATTCGGCATTTGTCCGAAAATGAATATTCGGGATCCTAACTAAGTAAAGATTATTCTTGATCCCAACCATCTAAATCACAATATACAATATTACAAATTTTGCGGTTCTGATGAACTCTTTAAAAAATTATGATCGAGACTAAGATTTCTTTCTTAAGTAGATAATCGTAATATGTATTTACACATTATATTCATTGGTCACAAAGTTTCTCAATGAGTCTACTTAGTTTTGAATTTTAAATAATATACGTTACATATCCTTCTTTTGTTTTTTATATATTGTTTGAAGTAAGTTTCACTAAGCCTTGATAGCTTATTCAAAAATTATACTATTAATTAATTGAAGTTAAACATAAAAATTATTCTAAAAGTATATACTAGTGTGAGTTTGAGATGATAATTATTACAATAATATTTATAAATAGATGATGATAAATATGGTATAACAGTAAACAAAGAATAATATTAAAACCACTAAATATCAAAGTTAGTGTTTAACTAAAGAAATTACATAATTTTATGTTTGATACTTCATTGTCGAGATTTAGCGGGATTAAGCGGGATTCCCGATCAGGATCCCGACTTAATCGGAATTTTAATGTCGGGATCCCGACTTAATCGGGACGGGATACGAGATCCTCTTTTAGTTTGAATCGGGATTGGGACGGGATCGGGATTTGGGCAATCGGGATCGGGCTCATCCCGATCCCACCCCTAGTTCTAGGGGTGGACAGGTTCCGGGTCAGGCCGAGCCTGACCAGGTTTTTTTTGGGAAGTGAGGTCCCCAACCAGCCCGGGTTGCCAGCGGTTCCGGGCCAGGCTGGTTCACTTTTTTTTTCTTTAGCTTTTCTAATTAACCCCCGACCCCCCCCCCCCTCTTCACCCCCACCCCCCAAAACCCCCCAAAACACCCAGCCCAACCTGGGAAAAACAAAAAAATGGAAAAACAAAAAAAAAGTATCGGTCCTATGACCGGTTCCTATTTTAGCAGACCCGAGCCCGCCCATAGTAACTACCGGTTCGGGCCACCCGGACTGGTCCTATAACCGGTTGTCGGGCCAGGCCGGGTACAAACAGTACCGGTCCGGTTGGCCCGGAACCGGTCCATCCCTATACGGTTTCAAAATGTTGTGTATCTTTTTTAGAAATATTTGGATTTAATAAACCATAGACACGGCCATAGGGTCTCTGCAAGTACTGGAGCCCAGAGCCAGAGCTTGCTTCACCCTCTATGAAGGGTACTGTGATGAGAGATTACTATGCTAAAAATTTATGAGACATCTGCAAGTACCAGGTCCAGAGAGTTTCACTCTCTATCTGACAGCTTGTGATTAAAGTCCAACTTACATCCTCTCAGCTAACTGCCTGACTGGTGCTGGGGGCTGCTCATGGATGGGGTGTTATCCTTTTTTGAATTGAATAATTAGCTAATGACTGAATAAAGCGTTATTTTTGTAAAATTTGTGAATATAAATAATACTTCGTACAGAGTATTACGCATCAAATTTAACTTATTCAAAATATAGATAATGTTGATTTTCCAAAAATCATAACTTTCGACTCATAACGAATTACAAAAGTCATAATATATCATATGGAAGGTACTTGAGTGTTCTATTTGTCTGTGTTAATGATAACTTTTACATTTTTCAGAAAAAATGTCTATGATTTAATTAAAAAAAATCAACATTTTTTTCCAATTTTTATCTTTATAAGAATTATAACAGACAATTCATTTTAAACAATCTAAAAAATATCTATGGCAGAGATAAAGTTGAACATTCACAAAACAATAAGATGTGAACAAGAAGAGTTTTTCTTTTGAAAATTGGGCGATAAAATTGTTGACAATTTGTCTTGGAGTCAGAACCAGTTCACTACCCGTGATCTCGCGCAGAGGGAGGTACCTAAAAAGTGAAGTGATGAATTGATTGATCATTGTTGATTGTTGATGTTCCATGGCCCGTGAACTAATCACGCAAAAACAGCCAAATATGTTTACTGCTTGGTGAGTGAAATATGGGTTCAATAATTTTTCTAAACCCAAAATTGGTTTAAGTCCAAAATAAAGAATGTGGGGCTGGGTCACTAGTCAAGACCATTCCGTTTTGGCTTTCCAAAGAGTTACGGCCCAATGGAAGATAAGATAAAAATTAAGGGTAAGTTGTGGGCATATCGGTTTGGTTTAATCGAAACGAATCATGTGCAATTTGGGTTGAGTTCACCACGAAATTCAGTCATTGCAAACACATAATCTCCAAATCTGTTTCTTCTTCCACATGAAAAAGGCAAGACCAAAAGCAAAAAATACTCCGTAGCATATATAGAAACATTATATTTCAACTATTCCCAATTTTTAAACCATCATCCTCGAAAGCACTTTAAAGTCTTTTCAAATAAAGTCCATAGAAAATTATGAAATAAAGGTTAGACAAGCACCTTTAAGAACATATTCTCTCATCTATAACGACAGTTTCATTTGAGGCACTGGTATCTCCAACCCTAGAGATAAATTGATTAAGAACGCTTGTGCATCTATCTCTAGGAATCAAGTACCTCTTACTCCAAATTTCAAAATAGAACGGAGTAATATTAATTTTGAACAATCACAAAAGACCAGAAACTACATTAACAGGGCTTCCTAAGTTCTGTATCAGCATTATTTAAACAACTACCTTAAAAGAACCTCATATGTGCAAAGAATCACTCTAACATACACGAGTAAAAAAATCATTTATCAAGTTTTTGTTATGGTTTCTTTGAAGCTTCCGCCATTCCGAAGAGCGAGCTATGGACCATCATGTGTACAAAGATGAAGTAGTGTGGTGTGGGATGTAGACTTTGGTCGCTGAAGACAAGATTTGGACTTGTGAAGGTATGCGAACTAACTGGGAGAGATGGTGAAAAAACTGTGAAACTGTGAGGAAGTGGGGGTTTTCGAGAACAGGGGATGTACATGAACAGAGAAAGGTAAGCTTGAGGGAGAAAAACCTTGTAAGCAAACAGCATTTTCATAAAACAGTTTAACAAAGCAGATGGTGAATACATCGTGAAATTTGAAGTACAACTTTCTCCTTCAAAAAGGTAATGGATTACACTAGATCTCTACAATTCTAAACATATGCATATTTCTTTCAAAAACAGGTTTAAAATGTTTTTAATTGGACTGAAATTTACTAGTCTGATCTAAACTGGTTGATCTAAACTGGTCTGGGACTAAAAACGGTGCAAGTAAAAACATCCTTAATACCCACTTGATGAAATAGTTCAAGTACATGATTAACAATTTGCTTCAATACAGACTTATGCAGGGCCATAGAATGGAAAATGTACATCACAAACATTGAAGATCAAAACTCAATTCACTCAAACACAGTAATCTGAATACAATATAGTATCTTTAGACTTAAATCCAGCTACATATAAAAAAACAAATAAATCAAGTGAAATACTATGGTGAAAGAAACATGAAAAGGAAATGCATAACTGTATGCCATGGCACTGGCAGCATTATTCAGCTTCAGCTTGTTCTGCTCTTCTGATTACCAGCCGCATAAGCAATACTTCAGATACATATTTGGCTGAACCAGAAATAGCATTTAGAATATCACCAAACGCCTTTGAAAAAATTTGACAAATTTGGCCAAGTAACCCTTATCAAAGGGCACTTAGTTTGCAAGCTACTGTGGCACTACTAGAGCTGTTTTACCTTCTAACACATCCTCCATTGCTAAGGCTCTTTCCGGCGAAAATGAAAATCCATGGTTTTACTTTCACCGAGAACAGACAACTACTTGATTACTTCCCACTGAAGCCAGTTATTTACAGAGTCAATCTCCCTAACAATGGTTTGGTGCCATCTTGAGCGCCATTACGGGCCTCATAAACCCAATCGCCTCCGTCTTCTTGAACCAGAACTGAATACAGAGGAAAACAAACTGCTTCTGCGAATGATCCTTGAACCTGATCTAGAGCTAGACCCGCGCAAGCACGAGAACACATTGAAGAAAAATCTTCTCAAGCCACCACTTTGCCTTGATACACTACCTCCACTACTCGCCCACGAAATTCTCCTTGGAGCGCCATTATTATTGAAGGCACCGTCCATTTCAGTATACACAACAGGAAGCTCTCTTTCGCCACCCCGTCTCCCACCTGAAAATCGCCCAACCGCGAACCCACCACCGGGCAGCCTCCATATTGTTAACCCAATAGAATCATCATCAATTCCTGCTTGGTTTGTACCCGGGTTTAACTCGTTGGCGTTCTGGGTATCTGAGGGCAGCTGATGCCG